TATTTATTTATTTATTTATTTATTTATTTATTTATTTATTTATTTATTTGGTGTTCATTTGTAAATCAGGCATGGATGAAATTTTCTCTATTTGTGTTTTTTACGGTATCTCTACTACAAAATTTAGTTGCCAAGTAACTCTAGTCCTTGGGCTCCAACTTAGAGATTGAATGTGAATAAATATATGGATTACTAAGGCTTCCACTTACTCCTTTATGTTATTTTAGTTTAGTTTACCCTATTTTACTATACACCATTTACTGATTATGATCGAACTTCATGTTCTTTGGATAAAAATCCTAAAATCATATAATTGTAACAGTTTATTGCATTCTGTTCTTGTTAATTATTTGTTTATTCTTAAATTTTAATTTTTTCTATTGTCATTTTCATTTATATATAATTATAACTCTAGTTTAATTAAGGCATGATCAGAGATTTTGGTCCATAATATATTCGTTTTATGTTATACATCTTTATTGATCAATACATGATATGTTTTCGAAGTAACTTATTGACCGAGAATTGTTCTTTGAAAGGTTTCCCTGCCTTTTATGAAATCCTTTAACATAGGCGAAGGGTCATTTTAATAGTTGAAATCACCGCACAATATGAGGAATTGATTTTTATTCATTTACCTCATTATTTATAATAAATTTCACTAAACCATTTTTTATTTTGGCTAAACTTCTAAGTATTATTAAAATAAACATTAATGATGATTAAATCTATAAATTAGTTAACTGCTCTTTTTACCAAAATATCCAAGGTGTCTTTATTAATAAATAAATTTGACATATCTAAGGAGTTAAAATCTCTATGCGAGTTTCAGTTCTATAAGAACTTATATTCCACGTTATAAAATTCATTTAAATTTCTTTATGTGTTATTCTTGAAGGATTAAAATTTATTTTTGATATCAATGGTTTCATTTCCCTACTTTTTAAAATCTTCCTTTCTTCTCTATTTATCATTTATCTTCTCTTACTGACATTTTTTAGAGTGTAAATTTTATGGGTTCAAAAGTAGCTGTATGGTCCTTTTTTTAATTTTTTACAAAAGAGCTGTTCCTCCTAGGAATCTGAGCTATATTCATCTTATTTTTTTTATTTGTTAATTATTTGATTGTTCGTTATTAATTCAACTTACAATTGTCTGAATATTTCTTCTATGATTATATTTAAACATTTTATTGTTTTTTTAAAAAGGCTGCTCTATTGAAATTCCAGGATTTGTATTATATTCATTCCTAGAGGTTTAAGTCTTTATTTTTATTTCAGTAGTGAAAATTATTGATATTTTTCATAAAGAGCTAAGGAATCATTATTTTCATCACCCATAGAGGTAGATTTTTTCTTTATAGCATGATAGATAATAATAAATTTTTTATACTTTTGACTTATAACCTACAGGATTTTTTTATTGTATTTTCCTTCTTCTAATAAAAAGCCTTTATTATCTACTCTCTAAGCTCTGTTTCCTATATACCTAATATTTATGCTATATGTAAATAACATTCTCCCGATATTATCACAGCAGGATCTTGTTTAAAACTTTTTTGGTAGTCAATAAAAAACAATTGAGTTCTCATTTTATAAAAAATTAATCTTTCACTGAAAAAAGCTTAATTTTAAACTCCTGTAAAAGCAGCTTCCAATTAAAAACAATGATTCTAATCGTAAAGATAATTTTGAAGAAGAAACTCAATTCTATGCGGAAGAATACAAAGCTTGCTCAAATGTCTTTAATGATATTGAGGATTATTAATTAGATTTAGAAAAACACATAGAGATAAGTTTCCAAAAAATAGTTCACATAGCATTCATGTTTAATGTAATTAATGAGTGAAGTTCGGAGAGAACTCCGCCGTGCTTAAGGATACGACACTTCCTTAAAGCACACCAGTATGAATCAAAAGTGCCATAATTTTAAAACCACATTCTTAATTTCATGGAATGTTTCATCAATTAAATCTGAAACGCTTAGACTTGTAAAGAAAAGTCAGCACATCTTCTCCTTAGAAGAATGTCGCAACAGCATTATACCCTCAAATTCTAGCTATCAAATATATCATTGGCACAATTGAAATCTTAAAGATCAGGTGGAATTTTAACTGGAATCCATTCTAGATTTTACAGAATAGATTGTAGCAAAAGACTTCAAAAATTTTCATTTGATTATATAGTGATAAAAACCAGAAATGAGTATTTAGATCGCTTCATCTATTTCAATCACAAATAAGTGTTCAAAAAAGTTTAAAGCGAACTTAAAAACTGGATTTTATAGTTTCTTAATCAAATTAAAAGCAATCAAAGGATCATCATTTATAGAGATTTTAAAAGTACCACAATCTGACGTTTTACCTGAAACAATACCTATAAAAACACCTTTCAGAAGATACAAACAGATCACATACTATATTATCCAGAAAAAACTGCCTTCAATCAACTTTCAAACCATGCTATGGTTGATAGTATTTTTAGTTTCCTTCAAAGTAAAATAATAGATTTATTTTTACAAATATTCTCAAGAAAATACTATAAACCTTTATAAACTTGCAAAATTTAAGAAATTAGAAGGCAATCTAAAGAATTTAAAAAATATAGTACCATGATACATGAAAAGTTCTTATTGCCATTAACAATCTTTATTTGAAAAGCTCTTAATTTTAATTTCAGAGTAAAAAAATGAAATTTTATCATTTTCTCAAAACAATTACAATTATGAATCCAAATAAAGAAGTATTATGTAATAAAAAATATCATTTGTGATTTTGATAGATTAGGAACTCATTGAGGATGAATTTTTCTTAAGAAACATCACACCTATGCTAAAGCAAGAAGGAATTCCAAGTTTCCATAATTCCTAACTTGATATATTTACCAAAAATTCAAGATAATTTAAACCCATTCTTCCTTTTTAAATCAATTTACTCATGAAAAGACAAATTACGGAAAGAAATAAAAAGAACAGACTTATAAGGAGGAAGTCTCAAATCCAAAGTAACATAAAAGAGGAGGAGAATGTTTCACCCTCTTATTAAATATCATCTTCCTATTATACTAAGCAGTAGAGAGATATATTTATGGATTTACTGATGCCTTAATATTGCAAAGAAAGTTGAATATTAGATCCAATAGGATAGTATAAACAATTATATCAAATATAAAGTAGGAAAATATAGTTATCTTAAATATGTATCAGAGATTACTTAAACTAAGCTCAAATTATTAAATAGTAAAATTAAAAAGTTTATAGTTATAGGTAATATTATAAAAATATCATTTATCTCAGGTAATTGAATCATAAAATCTCATTTTTGATCCTTATCAAATAATGAACCAAAAAGAATCAGATAGAACTAGTTAGTCTAATTAGAATTAACACTAAAATCTGAATTCTTTAAAGGAAAGGGTATAAGAATTTGAAATAAGATCAGAAAATTAATTCAGATATTAAAGAGGAAAAGGGTAATGTGAGCGATGAATAGTAGTGTATGATCCGCCAATAAGTGTTAAAATATTAAAGAGGTATTAATAAGAAACATAAGCTTAAATTTGTATGAGTGACTTAGTAAAGAATCAAATTGTTTTTGGCTAAAGGTACCCCCTTAAAACAATGAACAAGCAAAAATATTATGGAAACCATATTACGGATAAACACATATTGAAAATATTAAATTAGAATATTACTGCAATAAAAATGAAACATACTAAGAAATTAAGAAAGAATAATGCCATGTGATATGTTTATAAGAAACTATAGGGAAAAAAATAAATAATCGTCCTAATTTTACATACTTTGGAACTCTTGGATAGACTGAAAGATATGAGTGGTTATTGGAGTGCATATATCTTTGTGCGCTAAGAATATTTCAGAAAAAAATTTTAAATTTTAGTAAAGAAGATTGCGAATTTATAGTTTTAATTGTTAGAAATGAATTAATTAATCTCATAGTATTTAATTTCTACTTTCATAACAAGAACTAATTTAGGAAATGCTAAAATAAGCTTAGAACTAGCTTAGAAGAAACCTTAAACAATTTAAAATAGAAATAAATAATTGTTTAAAATTTCTAATAAATTTTAAAAAATGATATTACATTTTGAAGAAGAAATGGAACCAAAATAATGCAGTCTAAAACTGATGAAATTCTGATATTTTCCTAAAATAGATTGTAGTTATAATCTTATTCAAAATAATGCTTGTGACCATATTAAGATAGTTCTAATTTGCTATATAGAAGAAAAAGCGGACCAAAAAGAATATATAATTTAATTTGACAAAATGAAGCCTTATATGCTTAATCGAGAAGAAAGCAAGACAGAATTCAAAATTATTTTAATTATATTCGATATATTTTAATAAAGAAATAAGTCATCACAACAAAGAGAACAAAAATTCCAATAATTAGAATCAGTTATTAAACTATGGATACGATGCTACAATAAGTAGCTGATAATTTTGAAAATAAGAATAAAGAATAAGCCATTAAAATTCTTAAGTCTATTAAGTCACTTAATCCAATTATAATATTCTCAAGGGAAGATTCAAATGATCTTAGTATAGCTGAGGTTATTCAGAGAATATGGTTAGTGTAGTTGAATTAGAATCAATTAAGAATGGAAATTATATTTTTAACGTTTTATATCTATCTCTTTCTATATTGAATGTTAAAAATTCTTTTAATAGATAAATAATTGTTGTTCATTTTTAAGACCTTATTTTAAGTATTACCTTTCTTTTTAAATGATGATATATTTATTAAAATTTTATGATATTCATTATATCTTTTTTGGATAATTTATTCATTATTATAAAATTAATGCATAGATTGTAATATTCCTTTATATTTCTCGTTTTATGACAGAAATACATTTCTATAATCTAAAAGATTCTTGTAGCATTATTATTATTAT